GCAAGAATGCTGGCACAGCTTGCATCTAAAACTGGAATCGTCGGCGACACGTGCAGACATATCGGCGTCAAAACTTGGCGTATTATATCAGAAATTTAACGCGGTAACAAAGCAGCCGCTACACCACAGAAATATCGTCAGATATCGGGAAATGTTACAGGTATAAGGCGTGCTTAATCCATTTGATACCCTAATTTCGAGACTGCGAGGCAATCTATATTCATAAGTACACGATAGCATAAGATGCTATATATATATATATATATATATATATATATATATATACGAGGATTTAAATTGAAATTACAATTTAAATTACATGCCCAAATAACGAGACATACACAAGAAATTGTATCTATTATGTTACGCTCTGGAATGATTGGAATATGTACGATTTTAAATTAACCGTCAGTCATTAATGTGTAGTTCGATAGAAATAACAGACAGCGTGTGTTTATCCAAGCGTGGAATAACGCATTATTACAAAATTTTTTACCAGGGAAGGATTAAAACTTCCGGAAATTTGCGAAGGACTGAAATATATAAATAAAAGAAGAACTTTTGAAGAAGAACTAGAAAACGTCGAGAGAATGAATCGCATTTTCGGCGAACAAAAGTGATAACAGTAGCGACTGCTGACTGAATTGATGCGCTTATGCGTTACGTCATGATGTAGTGATGCATGAATTTCAATTGATAAATTAAATTCTCATTTAAAACCAACTATAATATCGGAAAACATATTAAATTCCACGGATAGTAACTATCAGTACGAGCGCAAACAAATTAAAAGAGATCTTTGGTAAAAAATTTAAAGATATGTATAAAAATTTAATGATAAAAGAGTAGGAGATCGATAACAGTTTACTTCAATTTATTTGTGCTAGTTTTTAGGAAGAAAAAAATTTATTTAAGGAAATCATCGAATCTATTCGAAAATGCAATTATAACCAAAGGCTTTTTTTTACAAAGTTCTCAAATGGATGACGTAGATGCGTTGCAAAAAAAGGAGACTACATTAAAAAATGACGTAATCTATAGATGACGTTTTTATTTTTTTTGTGTTGATCGAATCATACTTTAAATTTAATCATTTCTCGTATCATGAAAACTCTAAAGATGCTATATTTCAAATCCATTTGAAATAATAGAAAATTAATGTTGTATGCAGGCTATTTTAATGATTATAATAAAACAATTATTACAAGATATGAAAAATTTATCTATCTTATTAATATTAATCAACCACGTGTCTTTGAAATATGCATGTTCGCGGTATTGAAAAAGTAACTTACGACTGGCGCAAGTCTACAGAGGGGAATTAGATTGCTCGAAATTGTTTAGATATAGATATACGTTTAGTATTCTTGCCGGATGAAGATAAAATTAATTCTACTAGACGCCTAATGTAATCCGTGAAGAATGTTGTTACGGAGCAGTGTTCGCTTATTACACTCGCGGTTACACGATTGGCCTATCATTCGCCTGCCAGCATTGCCATGAATTTAGAAATTGTTTAAAATTCTAAAAAGTTAATTAACAGTAGTTCACGGGTTGATATCACACAAAGTATTTTTCCAAATTAAGTCGATTTCTCCTTTTAAATGTCCCAAACCAATTAAAACACTTATTATCCAGCGAGAAATGACTTATCGGATTGATAATCGAATCGACATCGATACGATTTCGACGTCAAATTGACGGCTATTTTTCACCACGAGTATATTACATTACTGATATAGTTTGTTTAATGGCGATTTGACATAATAATGAATAAGATTTAAATTGTGTTACATACTTCTTCTCTTGATAAGATCAAGATGTAAAATATTTCTCGATCTTAGGACGAACTTCAGCGGTTCTTGAAAAGAAATAAGGATATGATGCGAGTTGACTGATCTTAGCAAAAAATGTAATCAAAAAACGTAAATGTCATTTATTCATAGCTAAAATGTTTTTATAAAAGTGATTTATGTCGAATGATGTGTTTTCTTGAAAAGTACTTTCATTTGCATTTGCCGCACGCCGTTTTCGAGAGAGAGAGAGAGAGAGAGAGACGTTGTTGTTCGCAATTTTAAGATGCCATCGTCCTGGCGATATATACGTCGTTCTCTTGCATGTCAATTTCAATTCTTCGGAAGTATTCCGTCTCGGTATTCCATTTTTATTCTTCGTATACGCTCACCTGAGTGCATTCTGCGCCGGCACAATATGTTGTCGCGTGCATACATACGACACTATACTCTCTGACATTGTATCACGTAGGAATACGATAAATTATCCGCGAAGATCATCAAACCAAACCGCGAGTTCATGCGAAGTTGTGCACGATTAAGGCACAACAAAGTCCGAGAGATTTATTCCCTACGAATGATTATTCTCGACAGCAAAAAAAAAAAATTGGAAAGTGGAAAGCGAGTATCGAGTCGCTTAGTGTTTGATATATCAGTGTGTCTCATTAAGCTTTTATCGATATATTTTTTGCGAGTACTTTTTTCATTCCTTATTTTCTTATTTCTATCGTTATCGGGATGACGTGAAGAATATGTACACATTAATACCAATGGACGTTTATCTATAATTGTACTGAATACTTGAAGTTATTCGAAGCATTTTATTTTATTTAGGCGTTTTTCAGTCAACTTTCGGTGTCAGTTTCGCATTAAATTAATCTCTCTCAATTGACACACGAGAATATTGTACTGTGACATCACTGATTTCGCATCGCGACGTGAAAAACTCGTTTCGCCAATTACGCCACGACGGGGGATGCGCTTCCTCATGCGGCTCGTGCGCATCGTTTGCGCGCGTTCGTTTGCGTGCGTGCGAGCGATTCGAGATGCGGGCACGTGCGCTCGCGCGTACACGCGTGGAACGCCGTATCCTGGTTCCGCGGGGCAGTCGCTATAACGCGCGTCACGCTCGTCACAATGGTGCTAATCTATTTAATCTGACTAACAACAAACTTATCTCGTGACTCACTCGCCGCGATGGATTCGCGCGCCATTGCTCCGATCGCTTTCCATACGGCGCCACTCCGTGTGTTAGGTGCGAATGCCGATGGATTTTTCCAGCAGATCAACGGCTGACTATTTTGTTTTGTACAGACTCGTGGAAATATCCCTTTGATGGGACACGCACTTGCCTTGACCGCACACATGACGTTAATCTCGGGTCAGAACGTTATCACTGATAACGAGCGGGAGTTCGTGTTTCCTTATCTTGTGTGATACTTTTGAAGTTTGAATCTTACACTTTCAAACACCTGAATGAGTTGTTAATTTTATAATGCGACTTTTTACATTTTTTAAATATTAATTTGTATAGTAAATTTATAATAAAAATTTTGTCTAAACATTTTTTTCAAAGACTAATTTTGAATAAATCTCTTTTTCATTTCTGAATCTTATGACGCAATGATGAAAATTTAGAAGATATAGGCAATTGCTAAAATAGGTATAATGATAGCGTGTATATGATTGAGCTTTATATTTTGAAGAATAATTATTTGGATGTATTTTTTAATTTCTTCAAAAACGAAACGTAACGCTCAATGACTTGCACAATTGAGATTGACTAAAAATTGCGTTTGTGTGTTGTACGATAAATAAATGTACGTGTATGTATTTATAGCGTATAGAGTACGATATATCGGCAGTAAGAGAACGGAAAAATTCTGCATATAGTTCTTTTCCGGGATTACATTGGAGAACGTTATCAGTCGTAGAAAAGCAGCTTTATGCATCAAAGGCTTAAGTACGTCGTAAGGAATTAAATTGACGAGCGAGAAGAAGACACAGGGAGGGAAAGGGGGGGAGGAGACGAGGCGACGCATAGAGATAAGGAAAGAAACAGAGGCACAAACGCGTTTATATATACGTTTCATATCAAAATATATTTGTGCATAGACAAGAAGACAACCGTGACAGGTAATTTCGTACCTTAACATCATACGTCATACACCAAGGCACGCGTGCGTAATGTCTCTCTCTATCTCTTTCTCTCTCATTCACACTAGTTGCACGTCTTCGCTCGCAAATAATTAAATCGTTCGCAAATATATGCTCCTATGCACACATACGTGCGGCCGGTGACGAACGCACGGTGCACACCGGCTGCTGACTTGTCATACACACATCAGATTTGCATACGAGCTAGCATCGCGAAGATGAAGCCTCGCGCTTCATGCGACTGCATGCCTGTACAAAGCATTCCATGTATACGATTCTCGGACTCTTCCGCATCTCTCGCGCTTGATTATCGGTCTCACTCCCGTCGCTAATAAAATATGCAATTACAACAATTCGTCTCTCTCTCCCGACGCATTCGCGCACGCGATGTCACATAAACGCGATGTCACGTACATACGCACGTTATATGACTCTCTCATACGCACACACATACACACATACACACACGCACGAATATACAATCCGCTCGACCATTCCCCAGTCTTTCCGGCAGTTTCTCTCTCACATGCTCTCCCTCTCCCTCTCTCTCTCTCTCTCTCTCTCTCTCTTTCTCTGATTTTCTTCTAACAAAATATATTAGCTTTTTATGTACATACAATAATAAAATTAATTAGTACTATAATACAAGAGCGTGGATAAAGTGCTCGGCTGTGTTGCTTGGCCATGCTTCGTCGAATATAACGAGCGCGGAAGCGAATACGTATCGAGAGAAGATGGATAATCGACTTGTCCTCGTTGATACA